CACTCCTAATTAAATCCAGACTAGGGATGCGGGGTGCTGGAGCTCAGGCATCAGTATTTTTCTTTTCTTTCTTTTCTCTTTTTTTTTTTTTTTTTGAGATGGAGTCTCACTCTGTCGCCAGGCTGCAGTGCAGAGGTATGATCTCGGTTCACTGCAACTTCTGCCTCCTGCGTTCAAGCGATTCTCCTGCCTTAGCCTCCCCAGTAGCTGGGACTACAGGCAAGTGCCACCACGCCCGGCTAATTTTTGTATTTTTAGTAGAGACAGAGTTTCACAATGTTGGCCAGGATGGTCTCAGTCTCCTGACCTTCTGATGCGCCTGCCTTGGCCTCCCAAAGTGCTGGAATTACAGGCATGGGCCACCACGCCTAGCCCTAGGCATCAGTATTTTCCTAAACATTCCCCAGGTGATTCTTAAAGTGGGCAGGTTCAAGAACAGCTGATCTAAGGGTTCAACTCACTGTAACCATGGAACAGCCTCAAAGAACAGGTTCCTGCAAGTGACCCAAACTTAACTCTGTTGGTCTTAACTGCTTTCAATTTTCTTGTCCCCACTGACCAGTTATGTGCTGAAGGCAATTAATTGCCACCTTTCATTTTACCTCCTTTCAACAGAGGAAATAAGCAGGCGTATTCTTCCTTCCCTGTATATCACCCCAGTTCCTGACATAGGGTGTACTTGACAGGTTAACACTGGGCGATGCATGACGTTGAGATGTCTTCCTCTCCCTAACCTGAAGGAGGCTCTAGTGAGCAATTATCGCACCAAAAGAAAGATGAAGGAGTCTGCAGCATTCAAAGACAGAAGAGTGGCCAGGCATGGTGGCTCACGCTTGTAATCCCAGCACTTTGGGATTACAAGGCGGGTGGATCACGAGGTCAGGAGTTTGAGACCAGCTTGGCCGACACAGTGAAACTCCGTCTCTACTAAAAATACAAAAATTAGCTGGGCATGGTGGTGGACGCCTGTAATCCCAGCTACTCGGAAGGCTGAGGTAGGAGAACTGCTTGAACCCAGGTAGGCAGAGGTTGCAGTGAGCCAAGATCGTGCCACTGCACTCCAGCCTAGGCGACAGAGCTAGACTCCATCTCACAAAAAAAAAAGAGAGCACTGAGAACCAGCTGTAAATGGTGATCTACTCTTGCTAAAATGATTCCTTAAGCTCAACAGATCAACCTTCTTTCGAATGCATTTAGTGGCAGAAAAACAAACTGTAATTTTCTTTCATTATTTGGACTCAATGCATTCAAGTTATGAAAGTTGATGATTTCAAACTCAGAATAAAATAACACACGACAACAGATAGTTCAGCATTTTATCCTCATTTTTAACCTACAAAGTATAATGTTCTCATAAAGTATTTTAATAAATATATTAAGGCTTAAGGTAATTACTGGTTTGAGTGGAGGGTGGTTTGCTTTCTAGCACACTAGTTTACATTCAGAATCTTAAAAATGAAAACATTTGCCATCTTGTTTTACAGAACATTGACTTGCCCCAGTTTTTTGTTTTTTGTTTTTTTTTTTTTCCACTATTCAACATGTCTTTGTATTATCTTCCTTCCTCTTGTACCTCATAGACAAAGAACGATATAAATTTTTGGTTGAAAAAAGCCAGTTGATTGGGGTGACTAGAAATGTGAACTTTTTCAGTAAAAAGCCTTCACCGAATCACTAGGCAGTCAGTAATGCAGCTTACAAATAAATAAAGCTGAAGCGAGAGGCTTAAAAGCTCATTAAACAGCAAGAAAAGCTGCAGAGCATATTGAGGAAGGGAAGCAGTGAAATGGTGGTTCTAACACATCCCAAACTGGAAGCAAGAACCCTAACACAAAGAGGATTGGAATACTCTACCATCCACAAGGAAGTAGCTAGCTACAAGCCACCTCACACGAAACACCCACTGAGGCCTTTCACCGAGATCCTCTTGTTATATTCTCACTATGAATCCCCAGCAGGTGCACCTCAATAGAAAGGTGTGGAGGATACTGCTGAGGACCTCTAGGTCACCTAAGCAAAAACTGCTGCCATCAAAGCAGACTGCCACCATGCGTCCGCGGAGAACTCCCTGCCTACAAATGAAACTGGTAGCACTCATCCCCTGTGCCCGAGGACCATCCAAAACGGAGGTGCTTTCTTGCAAGAGAAGCAGCAAATGCTGACAGTGTGTCCAGTATGAAGGGCTTCCCAACAGTCACATCCCTCCCAAGACCCTCTAGATGGACTCCAGAATCCAGTCGCCGCTGGAGAGGGAGGAGACAGGCAGTGACAAGTCCCGAGGAGGGCCTCGGTCCCTCCTGTCGTGCAGGGAGTTCTGCTCCTGGAAATATTCCTCCTCTTCATCGAAGAAGCCGTTCTCCAGAGCATAAGTGCAGTCTGGGCTGGAGGCTGCCTGGCACGCCCCCTTGTATTCCTGAATCGACTCGTAGAGACTGTATAGTTGGCAGAGCAAGGACATGTCCAGCTGGCGGAGACCAACCTTGAGGGAAGGGGTGGGGAGGTAAAAAACAAGAAGTCAGCACTTGAGTTTCATTTCGGTGGAACACTCAGCCGGCAATCTGCGCCTGCCAGCACATTCCTTCCACACGGCGAATGATTCAGAGCATCACTCGGATGCTTTGGATTTCCAGCTTTGAGAACACCTTAATTGTGTTATGCCCACACCTCAGACGTTACTCAATGAGTCCAGGGAGGATCGCATCTGTGGGGCAACTAGGTCAGCCTGCAGAATTTACCCTGGCCCTCCGGAGTGCGCCTGATGAAGCAACAGCATTGCACATTCTAGTGGCCCCACCTGCTTTCACTTTGGACGCCAAGAAACGAGTGTGTCACCTTCTCTCCCAATCAGACTCGGAGAAGACCCACATTGGCCTTCCCTGCTACTGTGTTAGGATCTGAGCGATGCAGTCATTCTCAACTCCCAGGGGCAACAGAATGCCCCTTGCCGGCGACAGCAGCTGGCCAATGTGACATCCCCCTGGAGCACCCACCTCTGTGCAGCTCAGTGGTCAGAGGTTACACTGCCTCCCTCTCCTCCAGGCAGGGTCAGTCTTATCCCAGATGGTTCTGGGATCCCTCCCCAGAGTAACTGACTGAGTACGAGAAAGCCCTGGAAGGTGAAGGGCTCTACAGCGCCTCCTGAAAACTAGCCCCACAAAAACAAGCAGCAAAAGAACAAAGAACATGTATAAAAGTCATATACTTCTTTATCTTCCAGTTCCTCCCTTCCCCACCACCCATCCCAGAGAAAAGAGCAGGGTCAGAATAGGAAATGCATCGTTTACACCAATACCAAAGAGAGAACAGTTAAGCCGCTTGGAAATGCAGCATAGAACAGCATCAGCACCTCTTAACCTTTAAAGTGAATGAGAACCACCCGGGGATCTTGTTCAACAAGCAGACTCTGATTCAGTGGGTCTGGTGCCACTGGATGGCTGTGCTGCCACCAAGCCCCTATGGTGATCCCGTGCAATGCTGCTGTTCCACA